TCAGATAAAAGTTAATACTTCATAATCAACATTAGGTCAGTTAATATTAATATTTTGCTAAACTGACCTTCAAATTTGACAGGGAGTGGTAAAAGTATTCACTGTTACCAGTGGGTGGAGGAAGTGGAATCTACACAGGAAATGTAAATGTATTGTCTTATTTATTCTAGACAAGTAAAACACAAATCCACTTTTATTATAAAGCAAATTCCAGTGACTGGAATAGAAGCACTTAAAGATGAAAGGACTTAAACCATAGAAAGTTAGTTTATGGAAGTGGAAAATTTAACTCTGGGACAAGTTTCTAGATAAAACTATAAACTTCATATGGATAAAAACATATCTATTTTAATCAATATTAAATACTCAACACGTAGGACAGTGCCTAGTAATTATTCAAACAGTGATAAAATGAATGAACAAACATGTTTTATAGTTGAAAGTCTAGGAGAGTTTAGGTGTTTACCATATTAGAAGGAATGGTTAAAATAGAAATCAATTCAAGTTTTTTTATATTTATTATTCTGTGGTATGAGTTTGGGTCTTATGTCTAATGAATGATGAGTATGTTCACTGTTATTGGTCTCAAAACTCACCTTACTGGGTTCCATTATTCATTTCAGATAAGAGGAAGCAAAGAAAGAATAGTGGAGAGATGATGTTGAAAAATTTTTTCATCGAAAGGACATTAATGGATTTAGAAAATGTTAATTACTGCAGAAAATTATTGCAATAACAACAGCAGGAGGATGGAGTCTGAAAGAACCAGACAATTTTTAAATGTTTCTTTATTAACAATTCTCTTGTACCAGGGGGTTTTACCGTGTTGATTAGCTGATTGTCTGAAGATAACTGCAGGAAAGATAAATTCAGGCCACAGCTAAAGTTGATTTTATGTACTCCACAGTCATGTTTTCAATGTTAACCAAGATATTTTTACTAACTTTTTCTCCTGCATATGTCTGTACATACACACTCACCACAGCCTTCTCTCTCATATCCAACTAACTACAGCTGTCCGATGCTTCCAGGGTGTTTATAAATATTGGTAGTTTCTGAGTAGAGAAATTAAGTAAAAATAACCCTTTCATAGAATCAGAATCCATGTTGTAAAACTCACTTATTAAAGAATGTATAAGTGAGTTCTTGAGGTGCTTTTGGCCATTCTCTATTTGATTATCTGATATTGTCAAGGCAATTAAAATATATAACTACTATAGCCTCATTCTGGGAATTCAAAGAGTAAAGTCAGGTCAAGATACCCAGACAAGGGTGAAGTTCTTCTGATCTGAAAAATTGACACGACAGAGCTCTGGGCAAGAGAATTCCTTTCTCCACTTAACATTTTCATAGCAATCCAGACTTCATAACCTTTGAATTGACCTTGGCCAAAGTTCTTGATATCTGGCATGTCAGCCTGGAACTCACACTAGCATTGCTATTGGGATCAGGTTCCCATTAAGTATCCTGTCTGTCTAAATATACTGTCTCTACTAGGTAGAATATTAAATTAAGCAAGGAACAATTTGCAAAACCAAGTTTCTTTTCCACATGTTACTGTTTTGTATTTAAATAAATTGACAGAAGATTTTGCCCAACATATGTTATATTATAACTTGTTATTTACACCATGCATACATACTATTACATTCAAATTAGTGCCTTCTTAATGATAAAAATGTTTGACCAACAACTAAGAAAAGAAAGACAATTCTGCCTTTTAATCCATAGGATGAGAGTTGAATAATAGAGTAATATTTTGCTAACTTAATTTCCTATTTTTTGTCTTTAACATGACAAAGTCAAAATTGCAATACATTTCAACGAGGAAACACTCTTTAGATAAAATCTAGTAATTGCTTAAGTATTTTCTACATAAATATCTTTTATTGAAGTATTGAAAACAAAATTGGCCCAGCTGATGTGGTTCAGTAGACTAAGCGTGGTACCATGAACTGAGAAGTCCCAGATTGATTCCCGGTCAGGACACATGCCGGGGTTGTGGGCTCGATCCCCACTGTGGGGCATGCGGGAGGCAATCGTCGATGTTTCTGTCTCACATTCATGTTTCTGTATCTCTCTCTAAAAAAACAATAAAAACACTTTTTTAAATTTATTTTTTAATCTTCACCCGAGGACACTTCTTTGTTTTTTTGTATTTTAAATCCTCACTCGACATTTTTCCATTTTTTGTTCAGATAGAGTGGGAGGCAGAGAGAGAGAGAGAGAAACATCATTGTGAAAGGGACACATCAAGTGGCTGCCACCCGCATGACCAACCACCAGGCCGGGGACAAACTGCAACGGAGCTACGTGCCCTTAGCAGGAACCGAACCCCGGTCTCTCTGGACCGCAGGCTGAAGCTCTAACTGCTGAGCCAAACCGGCCAGGGTGACACTTCTTGCATTTATCCTCAGATAGAGGGGAAGGGAGAGAGGGAACAAGAGAGAGAGAGAGAAACATTGACTTGAGAGAGACACATCGAGTGGCTGCCATCTGCACAACCCCACTGGGGCTGGGGACAAACCGCAAGGAGGAACGTGCCCTTAGTGGGAACCGAACCGGGGACTCTGGTCCGCGGGTCAATGTTCTAACTGCTGAGCAAAACTGGCCAGGGCCATATTTTTTAAAAAAGTAAACAAAATTGAAGTCAAATATCTTCTTAATTTTTTCTACTATAGCTCAAAGACTTAATAGGTCCCATTTCATCCTATTCTATCTTGGCAGTATCCTCTGCTTCCAATACTAAGCCTTTTTTAATACTTTCCTGCCTATTTGTTCTTCAATGGAAACATTTTCTATGCACTTTGCAACTATTGATCTTCTAAAAAAAATAATCAATTCTAATTTATTGACATCCCAATTTTATTGTATCTTAAGAGCATTATATTTTTCATTCCTACTCAGCCATATTTCTGCGTTGTACTAAATAACAGCTGGTGAAAATTTCAGTGACAGCTGAGTCTGAATACTGGATTAAAAATTACTGAATTTGCTAAAGCCTATTCAGTCTAACCTAAAGAGCTTTTATTTTTGTGGTCCATAAGCATTAAATTCTATATTAATTTTATCTAAGAGTCAGTATAAATGAGGACACAATTATTGTGTGGTTAATTCTTAAAGAAAATTGTCAGTAATTGGTTACTTTTATTGTATTAGTGCTTCCCATAAATATATTCTCTAAGTGTTACTCCCGCAGAAATGAATGTTTCCATGGATTCCAAATAGCAAGAAGAAGTTAAGAGGAGTGTTTCAGTTACAATATGTCACCCTTGCATAAAGATAAAATAAAGAGACGTGAACCCTGGCCAGTGTGGCTCAGTGGATTGAAAGGTCCGGGGTTCGATTCCCAGTCAGGGCACATGCCCAGGTTGTGGACCCAGTCGCCAGTGGAGGGCATGCGGGAGGTAGCTGATCGATGTTTCTCTCGCACATCTATGTTTTATCTCTCTCCCTTTCGCTCTCTCTCTAAAAAAGAAAAATCAATTAAAACATATAAAATAAAGAAAGGTTAAAAACCCTTACATGGAAATTCGAACGGCAAATACTGGTACATGCTTTTCACCTTGGAGAGCATCCCTTGGGCACCTGAGAAGCTCTTTTAGTTGGTTTTCTTCAGCTTATTATTAAATAGAGTAAATAATTTTTTAAAATAGAAAACAATGTTTTAATATGTATTTTGCATTTTATTTATTAGAATTTGGTTTTAAACTTATTATAATAACTTAGGAATATGATAAAATGTGTCACTGTGTTCATTATCCCTTGGATAAAATAGGAATTTACTCATCAAGAAATTCAAATTAAGCAAAAAGAAAAATAACATTCTAACTTTTTAAAAGAATGTTGAGAATGAAAATATAAATGTTCTAACACTTTTCTTTTTTTCACTTAAGCCATACATTTGCAAATGCATTCTTTGGAGAAGTAGCTTTCAGAAAATGAATGTACCTACAGTTATATGGAATTTTACATATGTAGCCTAATATTTAACTTAATTTAATATTTAATCAGGTCTTTTTTTCTACTAGAGCAAATTATAAAATCATATTATTTAAAAATGTTAGTTTAATATTCTCAGCAACCTTACGGCTCAATATTTTTGTAAGAATTTCAATTTTAAAACTAAACTTAAAATGAGTGACATTAGATAACTATTTCATTCTGGCATCATAATATAAACAAAACTTTATTTTTTCAATATGTATTTAACAACCATATTATTAATAGAAACATTTTATTACATTAGCACGGTATATTTGATAACAGTCTTCAGGCAAAGATGTTTGTTTAGAAATAGGCTATAATTTTGAAATTTACAATATTGAATTAATACAGCTGTACATATTTTTATTCACTATACACCCTCTAGTATAAAAACTACAAAGGATTTTTAACCTTTCCCCCCAAAGATCTTCATTTTATTTGAGAATTGTTCCATACTGAAAATTTCATTTTTAAGCACGTAGCACTTCTAATGAATTTGCCTGTGCTGCGATCACATCTAATAACTTCTCCTCAGAGTGGATTCTTTGCTAAAGGGGTCTTTGCAATTTGAGAAGAAATGGGCAGAGAAATATAACTTCAGAAATAATTAGATTGAAAACTTTAAAGCATTGCCTTTTCACTATCCTCCAGAATAAAAAAAAAAATCCAAAGAGTGCTCAAAATTAAAATTTTCAGCCCCTTCAAAAGTACAATATGATGAGAGCTTTTAAATTTTACATATTAACTGTTTCTAAGAGTTCAATGTTTTTCACCTTACTGAAAATTCAGTGCCATCTGGCTTTTGTAACCGATGTCCTGCCTCTTATGGGCAGCAGAGGGCGCTCTAGCATTGTTGACACCGGATGCCTCCTGGTGCATTGCGCTAGCTTCTTGTTCCCAGGACGAAAACATACTATTTCCCTGGAGGGTTGTCGTTGAGTGTCTGAAAGGGTCAAGCTGTTCCTAAATTATTCCGGGAAGCTTTAATTTCAGACCACTAAATGAAGGTTGTGATTGTTAAAGGACCTCCACGGCACCTTGCACCGAAGTTTTCCAATTACGAAACCTTGATTGATTTATTACAAAAATGCTGAGCACAGAATTTCATAACAAGGACATTGGCAATGGACATTAAAGTGGATGATTATTTTCAAGAGAAATTAAAAATAGTCTTTAAAAATTTTTAAAATATTACAAATCAATAATCCCTCTAGATTTAATCACAGCAGATTACAAAATTGTGTGTTCCTTTAAGTGGTATTTTACCTTCTCTTTCACAGTATGTATTTTATTTATATTTAGAAAGTAATTTTTAAAACTGATTAAGGTTTCTGGAGGAGGAGTTTAGACTGTCCCAAACAGGAAGGATTAGGGTAAGAGAGATTAGGTGTGTTTCTATTACATAATGTGAATTACAACACCATTCAGGAAGGAATATTTTGCAACCTTTGACCTTGTTCCTTCATGATCTATCTGGGGGAAAGTGGATGCAGGGGGTTAGTGCAGTTGCACAAATACTGGAAGAAAATCAAGGCTTTCATGCTAACGTATAATATTTCAAACCCATTTTGATGTCTGCTGACTGCCCTACATGGGCACATGAATAATATTCTCCCAACCCTTTCCTTTTGTCATTTGAGTACTCCCCTTTTTCTCTAGTGTGTTTTACCTACCACCTCCCAAATTGTATAAGATGAAATACAAACCTAAGTCATCAATGTACATGAAAGACCAAACTCACAGAGTCCTAAAATGAAAAGATAAATAAAATCCACCTTGAGGGCTGGAGAAAGGATATATCTGGCTGAGGATATTGTACTTGGTCGGTTTATTTTATGAATCATTTCTTGTATATCCATAATTCAGGTGTAAAAGAACAAATCTGATTAAATATATGACCCATTTATGGCCCATTTCCAAAATTGGCGTTGCTGTCTTTATTGCCCAATCTGGATTGTTTTATCTATTCCTAATTTTAACATCATTTACATTTGTGGAATTATAAACTAATGCAAGTAAATGAGTAACAATTTCTTTTGAGACCCCAGGCTGTCTGCAAATTGGTTAGTTTGTTCTCTCTCTGTCTCTCTCTCCTCTTTGATTTATTATTTAATTAAGAAATCTATTTATATGCAATGCTGTCAATATTTAGGTTCAAACGATGGAATATGCTGAGATATTTACAGATGTATTGAATATATTCATACTGACCCATACGACCCTAGACTCCTAAAGCAAATGTTCATTGCTGGGATCTAGTAAACCACCCTGCCGTGTTTCACCTGCCAAAGCTATGAGGAGGCTGCTGTGGTCGGTTTTTCCGCAGTGCGGGTTTCAGGTTTCCTGGCCCTGCAGTGCCTCCCGGCGGCCCGGAAACGTGAGGCAAGCTCCGTGTTCCAAGGCTGTCTGCAGAGCTCCGCGCTTTGGATCTGCCTAGGACGGCTGCTCTGGTGCAAGCCTGGCCCGAGGACACAGACTAGGTATTGGGTTCCTGTTGAGGCTCAACTAGTCAGTCCCCATTCCATCCTGTCCTGGTACATCTTGAGGCCCACACTTGAGTCCATCACGAGTCCCTTCGGTGAACCAGCATTGTTAAACTGCGGTGCTGAGGGCCTTACTTGGTGTGTTTTAAGGGAAAGGACTCAAGGAAAGAAAATGGAGACTTCATTCTTCTAATTCTTCTTGCAAGTCCTGTCCATTGCTGAGATTCGGGTTTCAGCTTAAATAAACTGAAGTTGTTTCCCTAACTGTATATGCATAACTACCTGAAGTTGGAAAAGCACAAATCAGGTATGGCAACAGCTAGAGAGGACTGTTTCGGTAAATATTAGGTTTAGTGTATATGGCATTTCTCTGCTTTCAATTTTTCTTTCACAAATTACCTAATAGCCTGTTATACTTTGGGGCAGGGACAGGACGGCCCTATTGCATTTCGGTGAAATTACAGAGGGCCGTGGTCAGCACCGCGGACAGCGGCAGGGGCGGAGGGCGCGGCCACTTCAGTGGATGCTCCTCAGCTCCTCTCCTTTGTTCGCGGCCCCTGCAGGCCAAGGCAGAACAAAGACATCTATCAAGGCTCGCTTTCCCAGCCTGGGTTTTTCTGGGGCTCTAAGGCAGTGGTGCAAACTACTACCTTAACAAAGTCCACCTCGTTGGCTTTCAAATAAATTAATTTACCAAGTCCTTCTAAAGTTTCTTGTCCTACTCCTTTGACTGATTTGGCCACTGCGACTATGAGGAAACAAGGGATTTATCTTGGCTTTTTAAAGCCAGGCTAGGCAGACTCGAGATTAGGAAGAAAAAGAGAAAGTGGTGTCGGTGGTGGTGGTGGTGGTGGGTGGTTCCAAGCTTCCCCAAGGAGCTGAGCCGGTTGGGGTTTCTTGCGCAATGTGGTGAGAACGCCATTTGTTATGCTCTCTCTCGTTCGTCCTGTTACCGCAGTTTGGCCCAGAATCGCCAACAATCCTGCTACCCACTCTTGAAAGAACCACTGCTTTCTAAACGCTTCAACTCTCTAGAATATTTGCACAAACGGATACTCCTGCTCTCCTGATAGCTGTCACTGAAGCTCCCCTAAAATTCCCATCCGGGATTTGCGTGTAGATTTCCAGCTTTTACTGAGAACTATGACCCTTTTGCGTGCGGAACACTAGGGTGGTTCTGAATCAGTTTCAGGGTCTCTATCCTCAAAAGATGGGTTCGGTCTACCACTTCTCAAATCCCATTGCAGTTGCCTTTTCCCCTGCCACATCCAGAGACGCTCTGGTGTCCTTCAAGTGCAGCCGTAGGCTCCGCTCTTGGCATTCACCGCGTGCCTTAATTGTATGACATTAAATCAAGGTCCGCTGTGAACACGGAGGGCAGAGTCTGATCTTGATCCGAAAGTAACTGACCCCCTGCGAATATCACACGTCTCCTGCCCTTCCCCTCCCGGGAGCTCTGAGTCCCTAAGACTCCGCCAGAGTCATAACTCAGAAGCCCAGCTCCTGTCTCCGCTCGCCTCCGGCCACAGCTGCCAGAGCCCGCTGCTAATTAGACTGATCGGTAGAAGTGTAGACGATGCATGTCTGCGTATACATATGCATATATCTGCATGCCATTTGCAGCACACCTAAAAACACTCATACGCCTATAAATTTAGTTTTCAAATGACGGCGAGGATCGAAGTTAATTACCCCTCTGTTACAGATCTAATTTCGTAATCGTGTTATTTCACTGAAGGCAATTAACCGGGTTGGTTTGCCCCGAATCTCTTCTAAGTCGCTTGTAAGGGATGGCAGATTTTAAGGACCTCGCCATGGCATGCTCTGCTGCAGAAAGCCTTGCCAATCATTTCCTGCTGATGAGATCTAGCACATAAAGGGGAACATAATCATACGTGTGTATACGTAAGGTAAACACGCAGATGTGCCTAGTCTCTGTGTCCTCCGATAACGTTACTGCGGTTTTGGTTAGATTTGGGGAAGACAGGAAAGTCCAAGGGCGGGCTGGGTCATCTTTCTTTGTAATGCGGAAAAATTAACTCAACCGCACCTGCCTAGTCCCGAGAGAGCCGGGTGGCCCATCTGGTCTGGCTACAGCTTTGCAGTAGAGAGAAAAAGCTGCTCGCTAAGGCTTCCCCACTGCCGGGGAGCGTGGACCTCAAGGCTGGGCCCGGCTTGGTTCGGGGTTATGGTTCAGAGCCGCGCAGCAGATGCGCACTCCTCAGACTGCGGCCTGAGTCAGGAGGCTGGAGGAACCTGGGCAGGGCGGAGGGAGGGCGAGCAGAGGAGAGGAAGGGGCGAGGGGAGTTGACCTCTACGGTGGAGCCCTCTGCGCAGTAGGCGGAAGGCGGCGGCCGCAGCGGCTCTTTTCTCGGCGTCCCCTAAGGCGTGCGGTCGGCCTCCAGGGAAAGGCCCGCTTCGGTTCCAGGGTCCGCGGAAGTGGGGATCCTCTGCCACCACGGCCCGAGGGTGGTGTAGAGCTTGGCTGCAGCTGGAGAGAGCGCCTAGGGCCGGTGTAGCTCTGAGACCCCAGAACACGCCCCTGAAAAACAGAACCACAGAGCAGAATTAGAGGGGGAGTTTGAGGGGAGAGTAGGAGGCTGGGGAGAAGGGACAGGAGGAGGGAGGGAGCAGGCAAGAGAGATAAGGTGACAGGAGGACGAGACCCCCGCCGGTGGGCCGAGACCTCCTTCCCCAAGCTTTAGCCAGGCGCCGAGGGGCCCGCGGCTCACGGAGCCCGGGAGCGCAGCCCCGGGGGCGGCGCGGTGGCGGTGCCGGCAGGTCCTGGCTGCGGAAGCCGCGAGGTGGGGGCCGGACTCTGCGGCACCACCGCGGCCAGAGAAAAGATTTCGCGAGCAGAAACCGTCAAAACGCGTCCGCAGATGGTCCCCCGGTGCAGTCCGGCCGTTCCCGAACCTTGTGCCCCTTTTCTCCGCCTCACCCCTTCCCCCAGACCACACTTTGGATCCGCACTCCCCACCCCATGTTGGCTTAGGACCCTGCCAACTATAAGAACAGCAAGTCTCAGCAAGAAAATCGAAACGATCGATAGGAGAAAGAATTACATATACACATTGCCTACCTACTAGCCCTGCTCAAACCTGCAGAGGACCAAAGCGCTTTCAATCGCTGCTCAGCGCGTTCACGGAGGAAAGAGGAGGCTGAGAGGCTTCCGAGGTATAAGGTGCTTTAGGATGGGAGGTGGGGGTGGGGAGGGGGTGGGTCGAAGCGGTCCGGTCTTTCCCCCTCGCTTGCTGATCCAGAATTAGGGATTAATGGCTCGCTCCAGCCAAACAAATAAGGCATCTGCCTTCAGCACAAGAGGATTACACGGGCTGCTGACGTCACCAGTCAGACAGATGTTGGCTCCCAAAGTCCTGAGCAGCTCGCTGTGTCCTTGAAACCAAAGAGCCGCAGAAGGCGCTCAGCCCCCAAGAGCTGTGCCTGGGCACAGCAAAGGGCGGGCACCCTGCCCTTGCCTACCTACCCCCTATCCCCAGGCGCCAGCACTGAGGCCAGAATACAGCCCCCTAAGACATCGCACCCCAGTCTCTCCTCTTCCCTCACAGCCCTAACATCAATGCTCAGGCTGGCTCAAGGCAAGCCAAAGTCACCATTCTTATTTAGTTGTTTCTCCCTAAAATGGAGACAGGAGCCGACCCCTTCTGGACATCTCTAGATCCTTAATTCTAAGCTTTTTGGCCCTTGTTTGCTCACACACGGTTGGCTAAGTAACAGCAAAATAAGCACCTTGGGCCGGACAGAGACCAAACTCCAGATGAGGAGTGGCCTCTTAATTATGTGAGCAAGCAGCAGAAACAGGGCTTGTCTGCAGCTCCTCTTCTTGCCCTGCAGCCTTCCTTTCCCCAGGCCAAGGTCCAGGTTTATGTTTAATCTGATCACCAATGCCATGTGCCTTTGACTAATGTGGCTTTCTAAACAATGACACTCTCCCAGCCACCCAAGTGAGTCCAACCAGAGCCTTAGGCCACCACTCATGAGCCTTGGGTACCTCACCATGGTACTGATCATTGCATTTTCTTTGCAAGTACTTTGAAGATGTTGTGTGTGAATATGTGTATGTGTGTGTGTGTGTGTGTGTATGGGGGGGGGTAGTCTCTCTCTGTGTGTATCCAAAACATATCTATCAACTAATTTTAAGAATATATACATTCAAATAACTGCAGCTTTATTTTATAGTCAAATCCAATGAATAAAGATAAATTAATTACTATGTAAACCATAAACCCTCTTTAATGCCATTTCAAAATTTAATTTTAAATGTAAACTATTCTAATTTCTCAGACTAGCATATTATTTCTGCTTTATATGATTTCCCAGGCCTTTACAAATCACACTGAAGTCAGGTTATGAAATAAACCAAAGATACATGAAGTTGAAAATTTAAATGAGCAACATTGAATGTGTTATGTAATCTACAAATGAAATGATTTTAAGTGAAGTTCAATTTTATAAAGAAATAAATTCAACCCAAACAACGTATCAAACAAAATAAATTAGTCACTGACACAGAGCCACACTGAACCAATCCTGTGCCCCAAATCCAATAAGTATATAGATGAAAAATCTGTGACTTCCTTAGAAAAAAATGTTTGTCCACACATTGCACTGTTAGTTATAGACTGCAATGCCTAAACAGGAGTAGTTTGATTATATCTCTATTCATATTGTCCCTGTCTATCAAAATGGCATTTAATTTTTCCAATTCTATGCATTTAGAAATTCAGTCACTGATAAAAATCAATTTAATTTGCTCTTGTGTCATTCACCTAATGCCAGCCTAAAATAGTAAAATTTCTCTATCTACACTCTGCTTCAAGGCCCACATTTTTAAATTTGTTCTTTACCAGTAACAAAAGGTAGACCTCATTGTATTTTAAGTGAATAAAGAACATATACTCTTTGAGACAGGATATATAAATCATTGTGGTATTTTTTTTTTTTTTTAAACTTGGTTTGAATAAGTTTGAAATGCCACACTTTCTGAGAGCTTAATTCTTTCTAAAAATCAAAGGGACTGTTTTTTCCTCTTAACGTATTTTGAATGTACACTTTAATTCTGCTTCCACACATTTTACTAGAGTCCCTTTTGCTCAGTGATTTAATATTAGTTCGCTGTCCATGGTCTTGATCCACATGAAGGGAGATGCTGCTAGTGGTGCATTTTGAAAAATATAAATCACACTGTTTTTGCACCTATTTGATGCCCTAACATTTTAAGATAATGTCAAAGGAGGAAAGTCTATAGGCTTCACATTTTCTTTTCCATTCTACTTGTTTTCATTTTTCTATATTTGCCACCAAATTGAGAGGACAGGAAGCAGATGGGGAAAGTTTGCATTTCATTATTTTTGAACTGACAAAAATCACTATGCCATTTAGGGGTCCAAATAATTTTAGTAAATAGAAAATAGTATATATATATATATATATATATATATACACACATTCAAAAAATCTTACATAGACGTCCTTGTATAGGCATTCTTGTCCATTTTTACATAGAGTTTAACAAGTGTAGAATTTTTTTAAATGTCAAATTAAGAAGGAAAAGTCAAACAACAACATTCTTATCTCTCTGTCCATGGACACATAAATAGTTATAGGTAAATAGCCCCCCCACACACACACACACTCATGCACACATACCTAAGTACTAAGAGCATTAAACTGAATCCCTTCTCTAACACCCCCCCCCCCCCCAATGAAGCAAAGGAGGCAAATGCTATAGTACTTAAGGTTACTTAACAATTCCTTCTGTCCAAAACAACACCTTCGGTTTAAAAAACAAAAGACCAACCTGGCAGAGTAACATTTAACTTCTCCTGGGGGTGAGAAAATAAAGGAAAACTTCCCTCCTCCTTCCAGACATTTAATTGTCTTTCGTCTTTTACTTATCCCTTCAGATTATTAGGAAAAGTATGTTATTTATATATAAAAACACATATGAACAGACACGTATTGTCCGAATCCTTCCGAGCCGCTGCGGATCTTTTGAAGGGCACCGACCTGCACACATGGGTCATATTTTTGTTTTGATACAAGTATCCCAACGGTAAGAAAACAAGCTCTCGCCCGAACTAAGGTCTGTCCCCACGCCGGGCCACGGGGCCGAACTTCAATGATTCACACTTTTCCGGGCACGAGAAAGCTATTTGCAGTGAAGTGCATAGAACTTGGGGAAAATCCTGGTACCGGAAGAAAATGGCCTAAACACAATAGAACTCGCCATTTTCTCCTTGGGAAGCACAAAGCGCTTGGCGCTGCCGGGCACACAAAGAAAGCGTGGGCCCGCGGAATTCTTAAACATTTTTAAAGAGGCCAAAAAATGCCTCCCCAGAAACACAATTTCTACCGCCTGGGCGCTCAGAAACACTTTTCCACCCTCGCTCAGCTCTTGTCGCAGGAACATTCTTTATTTGAAATGTAGATAAAAGACCCACCAAAGGGGTGATGCTAGAGAAAGAGCTATCCCGGCAGAGACTAAGACCCGAAAACCCAGGAGGCCAGCCTGCGGTGGCCCCGGGCTCCATCCATTCTAGGCCAAGGGTGCTCGCATGCCTTCCCTCCTCCTGGCGTCTCTCCTTCCAGTTCATTCTGTCTCCCCTGCACGTCTGGGAGCCCGGGAGCATAGGATTTTCCGTGACCCGATTTCTATCCAGCGCCTGGGACCAACCTTGCAGCCCGGAACCTGGCGGGAGGCTCTCAAGGATGCTCGCGGACGCGGGAACCCTAGACTCCGCGCCTTCCGCCGCCCCCGCCCGCTGCTCCAAGTCGCCGCAGCCAAGACAACAGTGCCCTGTTCTGCACGCCCACAACGGGCGACACTCTTCACCCGCTCACGTGCAGAAAGTGCAAGCTTCGAGGAAGCCCCAGTGAATAACAACACCCCAACTCAACCGGCGCCCCGACTCACAAAGCGAACACTCCCGATCAGCCAGCGACACAGAGCCCGGCGAACGCAGGAAAAGATAGTACTTACAGCCGGTGCGCGTTTGGATAATCCGCGTCTCAGCCCGTTAGGTCTGTTTGTTTGAAAAATATGTACACATCTCTATATATTAAATTTTGCACATCTTCTACCGTTGAGAAGGAACGAAAACAAAAATCTTGTCGCCTAGCGGGAATGGGGGAGGGGGATGGAGATTTTCATTGTCTACGCTCTGCACACGCAGCCCAAGGAAAGACGCTCATTGCCGTGTGGGGCTCCTTCTACTTTCTGCTTGAAATCCAGACGCTTTCAACGCAGTAAAGCGGGGGTTTGGTCTCCCTCCCTCCCTCTGCGTTTCCTTCTCTCTCTCTCTTTCTCTCTCTCTCTCCTTCTTTTCCCTCCTCTCCCCTCCCTCTCTCTTCTCTAGCCCGAATTCAGCCTCTCTCTCTCTCACTCCCTCTCTCTCTCTCTTTTTTTCAAAAGAGGGCAGGTCGCTTCCTGCATCCCAATGAGTTAAATCAGTCACTTACTTCTCATGCATCAGCAGCCTCTTTAACAACCCGAGGGCTGCAGGCACAAAAGAGCATTTAGCTGCCTCCAATTTGTGTAGAAGGCCTGTCCTTAATTTGTTTTTGGAGTATAATTAAATCATGTATTTCACGTAATATAAAAATATCAAGTTCCCAACTTTAGCAAATGAACTGCTAATGATAACCTTTAAAAATATACACCCCTTCTGGTCGGTGTCCTTAGAAGAGACCAGGACGGTCCAGAAACCGAGAGACCAGAGGTTTGGGCCCAAATCTACCCGCCCCTCCCTACTTCACACGTCAAGGTCACAGTCATATGATTCCCCCGTTGATTTAAAATGGAGCCTTTTACTTTATTTATTTATTTTTTTAAATCAACCCTTCACCTTGGAAAGGAATTAAGTAGTTTTGTAGTATGGGAAAATCTGAAGGATTAAATAAATAAATAAATAAATAAATAAATAAATAATAAAAACACACGTAAGCAGACCCAACCGTGATCAGACGTTGGGATGGGTGGGGGAAGGCTGACATACCATGTGAGAATGTGTGGTTTTCATCTCCCCCCTCTTCGCCTGGCGAATTCTGAGGTTTCTCGGTTTTGCTCAGGTCTCTTCCGGTGGCTGAGTGGGCCTTACCCGCGACAGGGCCGGAGACTTCCACCCCCTTTTAACCTTTCAGAGAACCTCTAAAGGGTCCAGAGCT